AATGGAGGGTAGGCTGGAGGTAAGGGGAGGGCGTGGGAGGGGGGAGAATAGGGAAAAAAAAAAGAAAGGAAAGTCCATGTGGAGGTTCTTTGATGTTCTTGAATTGCTGTAGGACATAAGGCTTGTTCTTATGCTAACTTCCAGCTTAGGTAGAGATATCCATTGTTGCCCATCTTTCCTGCTTTGACCTCCCCTCTACAGAAAATGGCTCTTGTTGCTCCTTCCTAGTCATAGAGCTGCCGATGGCCCAAAGTCAGCCTAGGTCAACCAAATGAACCCATCTTCTTTCCTGGCATGGGAAGGACCTGACTTGTAGGAGTGCAGAGAGTTGGTCCCCTTCTCTCAAATCAATCTACAGCCTTTCTGTGTATCTAATATGTGTCTCTACTCAGGAATTGTTTAATTTAGGGATGGGCATGTAGGCACATTCCTGTAATCCCAGCAGTCAGAGAGCTGAGGCAGGAGGATTTCAAGTTCAAGACCACCCTGGCTACATCTTAAACAAACAAACAAACAAATAAACAAACAAACAAGAAAAGGGGTGGAGAGGTGCCTAGGTGTTTGAAAGCACTTCAGAGGACCAAGTTTAATTACCACATCAGATGCTTACGACTGCCTCAACTCCAATTCCAGGGGATCTGATGCTCCCTTCTAGCCTCCAAGGGGGCCACCCACACATGGACACACAGACACACATATGCATAAATAAAAATAAATCTTAGAAAAATAAATGTATTGAATCTTGTTCCTTTAGCACACCGGACCATTTTACCATCGGGTGGAATGACAGCCCACCAGAGGACTTGTGCTCGGGGGAAATGAAGCGTGGCTGCTAAACCAGAGCAGAACTGGCTTGGTTTTTCTTTTTTCATGAAACACCATTTTTACTCGAAAGAATGACTTACAAACTATGGTTATTAAATTTTGCTTGGTTGGCAGACATTTTCTGGAAAATGAATGAAGTGATAATGGCAGTATTCACTACTAATGACAACATTTGAATTTTGGAAAACTCACATTCAGCACCATGCATCTGATAGCATCTGAATGCTCAGAGACTGTGCTAATTAGATAGGTGATGCTGTTAACAAATGCAGTCTTTTTCTGTTTGTTTGTTTTTTGTTCTCCACCCCCCCAAAGACAGGGTTTCTCTGTGTAGCTTTGGAGCCTGTCCCGGAACTCACTCTGTAGACCAGGCTGGCCTCGAACTCACAGAGATCCTCCTGCCTCTGCCTCCCGAGTGCTGGGATTGAAGGCATGTGCCACCACTGCCCGGCTCAGATGTAGTCTTGTTAGTATATAATGAGGCATATATGCACTTGGGAGACCTGATATAACAGTGATCCATTTCCCCCATAACCAAATCATTCTTCTTTAAAGTCGTACACAGGGAAAAGATTCATTTGGAAAGTTTTCTGGTGTGGCTTTCGATTCTGTATGGTAACTAACACATAGGAAACTTGGGGCTGGAGAGATGGCTGGGTCACTGGCTGCAAGTACTCTTGCCGAGGACCTGGGGTTGATTCCCAGCATCCATGTGGCAGCTCGCAGCTGTCTACAGCTCCAGTTCCAGGGGAGCTGATGCCCTCTCGTAACCTTGGTGGGTACCAGCTACACACATGTTGCACAGACATACATGCAGGCAGAACACTCATACACCTGAAGTAAAAATCAAGGGAAAAAGGTGTGATCACATGTTAACTTTGAGGAATATCAAATAAGGATATTCCCAGTGGATCCAGTGAGGTGCCTCTGGAGATACCAGTGCTTGTCAGAGAAGCCCCACAGCCTGACTGCAGTCCTGTAACCACGATGGAAGATAACCATTCCTGAAAGTTATCTCCACCTCCGTGTGTGGATCTGCACTCACATATCACAAACATAAATATTTTAGAAAGAATGTCCACAGAGATCTGGAAAGAAGTTTTCTATAAAGGCCAATAAACAAACTATAGTGACTTGTTGATAACTCCAAAGAATTATATCGTTTAGATATGTTGATATTGGTTATATGTTTATATTTGAAATTAAGATGAAGAAATCCCTTTTAGTACCTTAAAAAAATAATTCTATATTTGAAATATCTTTTATTACAAAAACTGTATTTTCTAAAACAAAACATTAACTAAAGAGTAATACTGCTTTACATTTATGTAACTTTCTTTAATGTCTTGTTTAAAATAAAAGTTCTTTCTTAGCCGGGCGGTGGTGGCGCACACCTTTAATTCCAGCACTCGGGAGGCAGAGCCAGGGGGATCTTTTTGAGTTCGAGGCCAGCCTGGTCTACAGAGCAAGATCCAGGAAAGGTGCAAAGCTACACAGAGAAACCCTGTCTCAAAAAACCAAAAAAATTTCAAAATTATTGCTTGGTTTGCAATTGCTGCTAATCCTTTAAAACAAATATTGTTGCAAAAAAAAAAAAAAAAAAAAAAAAAAAAAAGTTCATTCTTGTGCCTGCTTCTGCATACAATCTGTTTTGATTTGTTGTAATTGAAGAAGGTGAAAAAAAATGCATTTTTGTTTCTTAAAAATGTAGAACACAGCTGGGCGGCAGTGGCGCACGCCTTTAATCCCAGCACTCCAGAGGCAGAGGCAGGTGGATCTCTGTGAGTTTGAGGCCAGCCTGGTCTACAGAGTGAGATCCAGGAAAGGCCCCAGAGCTACACAGAGAAACCCTGTCTCAAAAAACAAAAACCAAACAAACAAAAAGTTACTAGGTTGCAATATTTTCATTTGGGTTCTGTGGTCCACAAGTCAAAAACTTCAGTCACAGTTATAATGTAAAAATTCAGTAGTGATAGGGAAATGTGATGTAGTTGTTAATTAAACTTTAGACTGTTGTTGCTCTCTTTAGAGTGTAAAAGTCTGTTTTCATCTGTCAACAGTCACAGACAAATAACAAGATGCTAGCACTGTGTTGTCTCTTCAGAGCGAGTTCCTGTTGCTCTTCCTGTAACGCTCTGTAGTTTATATAACTATGAGACTGGAGAGGGCAGTCTGCTCACCTTAGGTCTGCATAGTCATGTTCCTGTTACAGTTACCCGAGAAAACAAGTCCAAGCATTACTGCGAAGACACATAGGTAACCTTTTTAGCTGTGGTAGGAGTTCACAGGAGCAGGCTAGACCATAACCGTGACTGTTTCTGAAGGCTGTGGTCCTGTGTTGAATTGTAATTTTAGTAATGTTGGCCAGCAAAAGACATTAGTGCTTTAATGCTTAACAGATAACCTGCATTTTGAATATGTGTAGTTAGTTTTATATAATTGTTATGCTGCTGTTTGTGGGTATTAAGATGAAGATGGACATATGGATATATATTTCCATTTACTAAAGGAAAATGAGGTTTTTAAATTTAGGAATATATGATGACAGGAGAGGTTTTGAAGACCTAACCCAAACTTTGAAATGAGTAACCTTGCCTTGGACTGGGTAGATAGTTTAGCTAGGAAAATGCCTACTTGCACAAGTAGAGAACCTCAGCTTGGGTCCCTAACACCCTGTGAAAGGCAGACGTCACAGCATAAATCTGTGTCCTCAGTGCTGGGGACACAGAGACAGATGGGTCCCTGGAGCTCATCGGCTGGTCTAGTCAGAACAGTAAGCCTCAGGTTCAGTGAGAGGCCCTGTCACCAAAAATAAGGTGGAGAGGGAGAGGGAGAGAGAGACAGCTGACATCAACCCTGAGCACCACATGCACATCCACATGCGTTTGCACACACACACACACACACACACACACACACACACACACACACACACACACACAAACATGAGCTCATGCATGACCCCCCCCCACACACACACACACAGAGCTAACCTTTCCCCTGGCTTTATGACCTCCTAAGAAAAGTGTCAGAGTGCCCCATCTCTGTGATGTGTTACATATAACGGATCTCTGTTAGTAGGTCCTGTATTCTCCACTCTCCTGCATAAGAACACACATGGATGCTTAGGATGGACTGGATGCTAATCCTCAGACTGCAGCCCAGTCCTCAGAAGAGTGCTTCTCTTGTAGGTTGTCATGCCGCCATTCCGTGACCCTCTGAAAAAAGCCCAGTATGACAAGGACAATGACAAGAAGACTCTCCTCCAGTGTGAGACCGGTACTTGATTCGTACGTGATCCCCTAGCCCGAGAGCAATGGCAGGTGCATCGAAGCATGCTGATGTAGGTTATTAATTGTCTTGCAGGCAAAATCTATACAATGAAAGAATTTAAAGAGATCGAGAAGGCCCAGTTGCATTCCAGGTTCCCGAGTATTTCTAATTCAAGGCAATGTATGACTCCAAACGAATGGCTTAAAGTGCCCATGAGATACATAGAAAGTGAATTTTGTAAAAGGAGCAGGTAATAATTGATGTAATGGAAGTTGTGAGCTTCTTGGACTTCGAAAATTCTTTCTTGAGACAGTGATCTACCTCAGTGATGATTTTAAAATAAAGTCTGCTGTAATTCATTGTTCCTCTGTACGTGATATTTTTCTTGAGTACTATCAAGATTCTCCAATTTTGGTTTTCATCAGGTAGACTGTGAAGTATCTAAGCTTATTTTTTTTTCCTCTTAGAGTTGTATGACATTTTCATTTTTATCATTATACATATTTCATTAATTTAGGGGGAAACCTAGACCATCATTCCTTCAAATATTTCTCGTGTACCATTTGTCTGCTTTTAATTTTTGAGATTCTGTGTATGTGTGACCATGGATAACATCCACAGTTCTATAAGTCTTTGAGAGTGGTTGACTTTACTTTCTGTGTTTTGGTTAGATAATTTCTATTGAGCCGTCTGTAAGTCCCCGGAGCTCCTTTGTGTGTTATCTGCCGATGGGCCCATCAAACACACCAACTGTGACAGTATGATTTTTAGCATTTCCATTGATTTTTCATAGTTTTCACCTTTTCTGAAATTTTTCATCTTTTAGTGCATATTGTCCAGTTTTCAATCAGTTTTTCTTTCTTTTTTTTTAAGTTTAAGATTTATTTATTTATTATGGATACAACAGGTATGCCTGCAGACCAGAAGAGGGCACCAGATCTCATTACAGATGGTTGTGAGCCACCATGTGGTTGCTGGGAATTGAACTCAGGACCTGTGGAAGAGCAGTCAGTGCTCTTAACCTCTGAGCCGTCTCTCCAGCCCCCAGTTAGTTAGTTTTTTTTTTTTTTTCAAAAGCCATATTAATCATAGTTACTTTAAATTTCCAATCTGATAGATCCAACATTAGGGTCATTTCTGAATTTGGTTCAGTCTGGTTCTGTTGATTACTTTATATTTTGACTAGACATTTTATTTTGCCTATTTTTGCATGCCTTATAATTTAAAAAGATTTGTTTATTCTTATGTGTAAGGTGTTTTGCCTACATGTCTATTTATACATAACGTGTGCCTGGTGCCTGCAGAGGTCACAAGAGGGTATTGAATACCCTGAGACTGGAGTTAAATGTGAGCCACCATGTGGGTACTAGGCATTGAACCCAGCAGGTCCTCTGGAAGAACAATCACTATTCTTTTTTTTTTTTTTTTTTTTTTTTTTGAGGCAGGTTCCCACTGTGCCCTGGGCTGGCTTAGAACTCCACATGTACATCAGGTTAGCCTCAAACTCACCTCTAGAGATCTTCCTGCCTCTGCTTCCTAAATGCTAGATTTAAAGGCATGTACCAACACAATTGACCTTAATTTTATATTTTTTGGTTGAACATCAGACACTTGAGATGGAAAAATAGTATAAATGCAGTATTTTTCTGCAGAAACTGACATGCCTCTTCTGCCACCCATTATTGGGAGAATTGGTTTAAGAAGTTGATCTAAGATTGGGTATTATAGTTGTTTCCTTTAGCACTCTACAGACCTTAAAAAAACAAAGTGTGCCATGTGTGTGCCGCTCACAGAAGCCAGAAGAGGATGTCAGATCCCTTGGAGCTGGAGTTTCAGGCAGTTGTGAGCTGCCCACATGGGTGCTAGGAATTGAACCCAGGTTCTCAGGAAGAGCAGCTGGTGCTCTTAACAGCTGAGCCATCTCTCCAGATCTAAAGAGCTATTGTTGTTTTAAAAGGTGTTTTTATTTTGAATTTATGCATACATGTGTGAGCCTGTGTGTGGATATGTGAACATGAGTGCAGGTATCCGCAGAGTCTGGAAGGCAGTGTTGGGTGTCCTGGTGCTGGAGTTACAGGGGATTGTGAGCTGGGTGGTTGGGAACCAAACCCAGGTCATTTGGACAAGCAGATTTTGCAGTTTAGCCGTGTCCCCAGTGCTGAGTTTTTTGTTTTAAAATAGGAAGCCATGTTGTGTGAGGGCATCAGGATGATGGCAGAGGATAAAATAAAGAGAGTGATGTGATAAAAATAAAAGATTTATATAGTTTCACGACTTGAGGGCCAGAGAGGAAGTCAGGAAATTCGAAGTTGGAGCCTGAGTGCCGAATGCAGGGCTTGATGAATGTTGGACAAGCTTTCTAACAGTGAGCCTGGCCGCCAGCCTGGTGTTCCCAGAGCAGTCACTGCCTGTGTTCATCTCCTGGGGCGGCCAGACTGTGGCCGTCTCCTGCTCTGCCTCCCAAGGGCTGGGGACACAGGCCTGCTCTGCCACATCTGGCTTTATGACCTCTTTTTACGTGATACCTTACATCAGTGTGAGCTCCCATGGAATAGAGGGAGGGTTTTAACTTTGCCTGCCTAATCTTGGTTCTCATCATGGTTGCAGAAACTCTTAAGCAACTAGTCTCATTGAGAAGGCACAGCAGTGTCAACTAATAGTATAATGGACCATATTGATAACGGTCAGTTTCTAATAATAACAATGCTTAAATGCAAGTGCGCACTGTTTTGCAACATCCTGACCCATGTTCTCTTATTAGGGTCAAAATGAAGGTGAATTTTAATGCTAGTACTTTCGATTTGACTCCCCTGAAGAGGGTGCCTAATTTTCTGGATTGCCGGGAGGAGGAGAAGACCGTCAGTTACAAGTAAGCCTTGTCTCAAAAACCACTAGGTGGAGACAGATGATGTTAGCGATAGAGCTGGCCGTTGTGGACATCTCAGTGTTCTGGCAGTGCAGCTTAGTGATGCGGTGTTTTGTTCACTGGATAGGGCCTGATGATGAGGAGTAAAAGCGGATGCTGAACCTGGCCCTCATAAACTTAGACTTTAAAAGAAAAGATTAAGTTCTTCTCCCGAGTTAAATGTTAAAAGGATCGCTCCTGGTTCTTCCTACAGAAACAAAGGGCTCTCCCCTCTGGACAGTGAAGCTCCGTGTCTCCAGGAGGGAAAGGACCCAAGTTCCCAAGGGATCAGTTCTGAAGGTCATCATTCTTCTGCAGACCTCTGCCAGGAGGTGGAAAGGGATGAGGTCCAGGACGCGGTGAGAATTAACCCGGACGACGCGGTGAGAGCCGGGACAGTCAGCCCCATTTGGGACACCCAGGGCAGCCCTTGCTGACACCCAGGGCTAAGCAGGTGGGAACTTCTTGATATGGTGGGCTCTTTAGAAGCCAGGAGGCAGCTGAGCACACCTCCCATGGGGAAGAGACAAAGACAGGTGTCATTCAGAGGGAGAGTGTCCTTGCAGCTCGGTGGAGCAGCCGCACAGTGGACATGCCCAGTGTCTCCTGTTTCCTTGGCTCCTGACTTGACTCCTGACTGGGTAATCTTTCTACCACCTCTACCACTCTCTCCCATTTCCCTGTAGTCAAGCCGGGCCCCCTGAATTGTTTCTCTTAATTCAATCAAGAATTAGTTTTCAAAAGGGCCAGTACTAAAAGCAGTAATCTCTAAGGAGGAAAGTGTAGCTCCCAAATGTAAAATGTCCAGAGATACAGGTCTTCATAGAGACCTCCCAGGGGAACTACAGTAGTGTGGTATCATTTGACGGTCCTAGCCTGGCACCCAGTCCAACAAGACATCTAGGTCTAGAGGGTCCTTTACACTTGAGTTTCCCGTTCCATTGCTGTGTCCCATACTATGGAGACGGTCTCTTCTCTGAGCGGCTGGACCCTGAAAGGATTTTTTATCCACTCCTGAACGTTTCCCAACCTGTGAGCGCAGTTTGCCCTCCTTGTCTGCCATTGCTGAGTGGCGTTTCCATGTGGTCGCTTACTCTGCTTCCTCCATTTAACAAAGGCCTGTTCTGAGTCAGGCAGTGGGAAGGGCTGGAGCCATGAAGGGGAGCCGCGGTGTCTCTGCTCTTGTGGAGCTTACACTTTGATGGTAAAGACAGAAAACAGCCAAAACAAATATCCAACAGGTGAGTTAATGAAGTGAGGAGAAGAAGATAGATGAGGACACCATTTTAAACGGAGAAACCAGGAGAGTCTTCTCGGAAGAGGTGACATGTACTGTAGGCTGGGCATGGTGGCACACGCCTTCAATCCTAGCACTTGGGAAGCAGAGGCAGGCGGATCTCTGTGAGTTCAAGGCCAGCCTGGTCTACAGAGCGAGATCCAGGACAGTCACCAAAACTACACAGAGAAACTCTGTCTCGAAAAACCCAAAACCAAAACCAAATAAACCAACAAACAAGAAAGAGGGAGAGAAGAGTTTTAGGGGAAATGTCCGGGAAGAAAGATTGACACCGGGGCTCCAGGAGGGACTGAGTTGACAAGAGGGGACTGGAGAAGAAAAGCCACTCACACAGAAGCCATTCAAAAGTTTTGACTAGGGAGACACACCTAGGTAACTTTGGATTGGTGGTTGTCTAGTTTCTTAGGGACAGGGTTTCGTGGTTTCATGTAGCCTAGGCTGGCCTTGAGATCTTTCTATAGCTAAGGCTGGCCTTGGATTCTTCATCCGTTTGCCTCCACCTTTCACCTGCTAGGATTACAGGTGTGTGCCACTACACCTGACAAAATCACGTTATAAAGGAAGAACATGGCTGCTTTGTAGGCAATCATACACAACCCACAACAGTCTAGCTGCTAGGCCAGGGCACTGGGTCAGGAGCATAATGACCTGAGGTCTAGTGAGGGCTGTGTGGTCATGGGACCTGAGGAGTGAGCAGGTTTGGAGCATATTAGTGTTTGATATGAGAAATGAGGGAAACCAAGAAGCCAAAGTCAACCGTGTTCTTGAGGTTTTGGTCCAGAGGGTTGGATAGATGATGGTCCTATTCACTACTACAGAAGTTTAAGTGGAATTTGGAGAGACTAAGGAAGAAGTGAAAAAAAAAAAAAGCTAATGCTTTCTGGGGCTGAGTTAAAGATACCTTTTTCCATTACAATGCACATTTTTAGGGTGTGATTATTAAGTAAGTTAGCTTTTCCTCTAGCTGTTCATTTAAACATGTTCTGGGACTAGGGATGTAGCCCAATGGATAGTACTTACCTAGCATGTGCAAAATTCAGTCTCCGGCAGTTTCTTTCTCAAAAAAGGAAACAGATGAATAAGTAAGGAAGCACTAAGCACATCTGTTCAAGGTAGTTTTCCACACCTTAGGTATCCTCAGATGCTAAGTACTTCTGATTACAAAGGCTCTCACTTCTGCCGTTAACATGACTAAGTGATATAATGACTTTGTTGCTGTTGCTAGCCTGGAATTTGCTGTATAGACCAGGTTGGCCTCAGATTCACAGATCTCTAACAGTTTCTGCCTCTGGAGTATACTAGGATTAAAGGAAGATCACACACACACACACACACACACACACACACACACACACACACACACATACACACATTGATCCTTTTGTAAATCCTGTAAGACTGACCTTTAAACATTTAGGACATAATATTTACTCCCTAAAAGATACCAAGACTAAAACCAAATGTATTTTTAATAATATTCAGCTCTATTTAACAACATTTATCTTTTAACTCAACCTCCCAGGTGACCTGTGAAGTAGGTAGGTGGATGTAGTCTGGTGGTCAGAGGAGATGCTAGGTTGGACATGCATATTTGAATCATCTGATATGTGATTTGAAGTTATGAGAAAATCAGAGAATGAGTGTCAAAGGGCTGATGTCTAGATTCTGTGAGAGGCCTTAACCCTGGCCAGAGTGGCTTCAGGGGCTCAGCTCCCTTCGCCAAGGAACTTCCTGGTCCTGTAAGCCCTTTATTCCTATGGCATACTCAACTTTTTCTTTTGTCACTTTCAATAGGTTACGACAACCACACATCCTGATTCCTGATCTGTGCAAGGACCCACAAAAAAAGACTGCTTTAGACGAAGTTACCTGCTGGCTGGAATCCTTCTGAAATGAAGGAAGACATTTAGGAATCATTTTGTTCTTCTCTGAAATAAACTTCTTTTAATTTAGAATTCAGTGTCTGTGATGATTAAGAAATAGCAACACAAAACAAACAAAAATGGAAAAAATGGATGTGGTGATGCACGCCTTTAATCCCAGAACTCAGGAGGCAGAGGCAGGTGGATCTCTATGAGTTCAAGAGATCAAGGCCAGCCTGGTCTACAGAGTGAGTTCCAGGACAGCCAGGGCTACCCAGAGAGATCCTGTCTTGAAAAACAAAAAAACAAAATAGAAAAAGAAATGACAATACATTTCCCCCAAAAGTGTATTTTCCTCTGAATTTAAAAAGTATCTCGGGAAGGGGCCGATAAAAAGCCATCTTACCAAAAGCCTTTCTCAGTTCATTTGATTTGTGACTAAGTTACACTTTCTGCCTAGACACCATTGAAATTGAGCTTTAAGACAGTAATTGGACTATCCCATTCCATATTTATTATCTGCCTTATTCCAAGGGTATAGGTGTCTAGGATCTTAGTATCTTCTAATCCACACATCGTTCCAGGTGAAAACTCAGTTAAAAATTGTAAAACCTATTGTGGGAAATTTCAGAAAAGTATATTCAAATAGAAATGATTGTGTAAGAGACCCGCTCATCCGATTTCAACAGTGAAAACTCCAGGTCTGTCTTCATCTGTGCCATACCTCCTTTTCAACCAAACACAGCTGCAGAAGCGGTTCTTAGACGTTTCCAAAAGTTGCCCTTCCAGATGGTAGAGAGTGGACTCCTTTTCTTTCGCTGCCCTTGGATGGGATCACAAGTCCTCAGAAAAAGCCTCAACCAGGTTGTGGTGCATGCCTGTAATCCTTCCCTCCAGAGGCTGATGCAGGAGGATCCCACGTTCCGGGCCAGACCGGGGACATAGAGAGTTTTCCGAGGCAATAGGAAAGGGTTCAGATACTGTTATAGTGCATATTTTCGCAGTATTTAATATTTGTCGGGTGTTTACAACTTGCTATCATGACTCACATTAAATACTACATTTGTATTTATAATTTTTTTTTCCCCGTATAAAACTGCTAGCATTATAAACTTCAACTAGGGACCCTGGCATCCCCGCACACCCAGAGATGCCTCTGAAAGGCAAGGGGAGAGGCTAGATTTAAAGACAGTGGTCTCTAGTTTTCTATGGCTGTGAACAAGCCATTCTTCTCCAGGGACGTTGGTGTCGCAGGCCGGCCAGACCTCGTGGCCTTGCTCCGCGCATGCGCTTCCCCTGGGGTCGAGACACCACCCGCCGGACCTGACTCAGGCAGGGCGCGGGCTGCAAAGCTGCCCACCCCTGGGGCAGCCTGGGGGGCCTGCGGGCCTGAGGGGACCAGCGACCAGCACAGGAACTTCGGTCTGAGGCCTCTCTTCTCCACTCAAGGTGCCATCAGCCCAGGAGCACCGGTCCAAGAGGAAGGCTGCAGCCTGAGACGGCCGCCCTCCCCGCCGAGGACCATCACCCTCAGCCTGGGCTATGCAGCCAGTGCTGACGCCTGTTTCTAGGTACCCAGGACAGCGCGGGGAGGGGCATGGTTCTCTAGGACACAAGAAAGAGCCCTGGCATCTAAACCGAGTTCCAGGTCCCCAGGGCCCTGCTTTTTCCACATCGATACACTAAGTAGGAACTCAGTTTTCCTTGCTCGGGGATTCTGTGATTTATGGCGGCCGTAAAAACTTCCAACTCGGATGGACATTTCAGTGTGGAGAGACTCAAGGAATGGCCGGAGCCGGAGTCTGTGTCTTTAATGGAGGTAACAGCATGGCTTCCTTTTTTCCCTTCCTTTTCCTTCCTTTCCTCTTTTCTTCCTTCTTCCTCCTTCCTTCCTTCTTCCGTCCTCCTTCCTTCTTCCTTCTTTCTTCCTCCTTCCTTTTCTCTTTCCTTCCTTCCCTCCTTTCTTCCTCTTTCCTTCTTTCTTCCTCCTTCCTTTCCTCTTTCCTTCCTTCTTCCTTCCCTCTTTCCTTCCTCCTTCCTTCCTAACTTCCTTCCTCCTTCCTTCTTCCCTTCTTTCCTCCTTCCTCCTTCTTTTTTCCTCCCTCCTTCCTTCCTAACTTCCTAACTTCCTTCCTTCCTCCCTCCTCCCTTCCTTCTTTCCTCCCTTGCTTCCTTTTTCATAAGAAGCAAGATAATTTGGGGCCGAGTGATAGTTCCTGTTGTGGATTCACTGTCGAGATTGGCTGGCGCCACCTGAGGGAGCATACTTAATGACGTACAGAGTACTTAAAAGTTTTATTTTTAAGATGTTATCTTTCAATGACACACAAAATCCCTTGAGTTTATAACCAATTACGTCTCAATCATGCATATATTTCCAGTATCAAAACAGTTCTTCTTGGCTTAGATCAGGTATGCAGGAGGATTCTGTGAGTGGGAGTGCCTGGGTTCAAATTTGGCCAAAAGCCATGGTGAAGAATGGCACCAGCTGACTGCCAGGTAGGTAACCGGGTAGGTAATGGGCCAGGCCAGAGCTTGCCCTTCCTTCCATGTCTGGGAATGATTTGTTCATACAGCTGCAGTTTTATTGGATTCTGTGGTTTGCGTCATTATAAAGAAAGCTGTTTATAATGAATTTATCTCGCACCTTTGTCATAGGGGCAATAAGAGTTGTGAATTGTGAGTTTACTATTTTTTTTTTTTTGTTTTTTGAGACAGGGTTTCTCTGTGTAGCTTTGTGCCTTTCCTGGATCTCAGGACCAGGCTGGCCTCGAACTCACAGAGATCTGCCTGCCTCTGCCTCCCGAGTGCTGGCATTAAAGGCGTGCGCCACCACCGCCCGGCGGCAATTTACTGTTTTTGTGTTTGTGAACAGAAGATTTCAGAGGAGCTGCTATGAATCATTAACATTTCTATATTTTCTGAAAAAAATTGTTTTTTGGGATGGGGTCTCATGTAACCCAGGCTGGCCCTAAGGCACCACCTCACCTACTTCCTGCCACATTGGGGGCTTGAACCGAGGACTTAGAGGGCTTCGTGTCTGCCAGGCAAGCCCTCCTCCAACTGAACCCCATCCCCGACCCTTGAGGTTTTGATGTATGAAGAGACCTAGCAAAAGGCAAAAATCTTCAAGGGGCTCCTAAAATACAGTTATAGGAATGTCTAAAAAGAGAGTTCGTTTGATATAAAAATGATTAGTAAGCTTCTTGGAACTTTATTTTTTACTTGATTTTTTAACTATGTGCCAGATGTGGGTGTGTGTACTTTAGTGCAGGTGCCCAGAGAGGCTAGCGGCCTTGGATCCTGTGGAGGTCGAGTGGCAGACAGCTGTGAACCGAGCTGCAGGACGTAGGTGCTGCCAAATCACACCTGGTCCTCGCAAGAGCAGAATGTGCTCGTAACTGCTGAACCACCTCTCCAGCCTCAGCTTCCCGAAACTCTAACAAGGATACGATTTCATGATGTAATGTCAGGGATGGGTTTCAGAACAGTCGAGGTGGGTGATGGAAGACTGAGGAGGGGTTTATCTGAAATGAGATTGCGTTGCTACTTGTTAAAACTGGGTTATGGGTTCGTGGAGAATAGCATTTCAAAGTTCCCGTCGTAAAGAGTTAAACCGCGTCGTGAGGTACAGGCTGTTAGATCTGCACTAGCGATGCGGGAACATTACCCCGGGACTGGCCGTTCCGATCGCCCCTTCAGAATGTTTGACCCGCCATTCGATTTCGTTTTCAGATGTTAGCTAGAGAAGACATCGATGAAGCTGTGTATGCAATATTATTCAGAGAAAACTACATTGTGAAGGTAAGTGGCTGCACACTGCGTTCTGGAGGAGCGAGGGCTGATGTCATGCTCTGCCGCCGCGAAGGCGGAAAGGCTTAGGAGAGAACAAGGATGTGTGGTGGCGCACACTCAGGGGCCTCTGTCCACGGTGACGTCCCTCCATCACTTGGAGGCGCTGCTCCAGCAGAGCACAGTGGCCGGCACTAGCCAGGGCTGATCGCCTCTGGGCGTTTAGGGAGCAAAATGAGGACAAGTGAAAGGGTTTGTTATTTTCAGTATTTTCTTCAAAGGCGTGCTCTGGACGACCGAACTTCCTTCCGCCAGCCCTGCTTCTGGAGTTTCCACCACTCCGTGGCCCCATCAGCAGGAGACACTAACCCATGAGTCCGAGGGGACAGCTTACGTTCAGGGTGTGATAGTCTGCCAGAGAGACTCATTTGCAGGCAGAAGGAGGTGCCTCTGACGTACACCTTTGAGCTGCGTAGACCTGAGATGGCCGCTCCTTACAGGATTCCTAAAAGTTCCCACAGCTTGTACAGATCTGCCCTTAAGAGTCTGAGAGATTTTTTTTTTTTTTTAAAAACTGCTCCGCCTCTTTGACTTATACTAAATGGAAATTCTTTTCCAACAAAACTTGCCTCTTTTTCCTATTTTTCCATACTGTATTGGGCTATATAAAAATCACCAGAAATTGCCGGGTGGCGGCGGCGCATGCCTTTAATCCCAGCACTTGGGAGGCAGAGGCAGGCGGATCTCTGTGAGTTCAAGGCCAGCCTGGGCTACCAAGTGAGTTCCAGGAAAGGCGCAAAGCTACGCAGAGAAACCCTGTCTCAAAAAACAAAAACAAAAACAAAAACAAAAAATCACCAGAAATTAATTAGTATATAAAGGTAATGACCAATTAAGTTACTAATAATCACTATGGGGTTAACCTGCTTTAAAGGAGTTAATTTCCATCTGAAAGCTAGTAGTATAAGAATACTTTGACATTTTTATTGTGATTTGAATTTACAAAGTAAATAGACATTCATTCTTTCTCTCTCAAAATAGTTTATTGAGTACACCGTAAGAGATCACTGGGCTAGGCAGTAACTAAATGCCTTGCCCATATTCTCATGTAAGCATCAAAAGCTGGGGTTAGCCTCCTTTCATAGCTCAGAGAGCAGCGTCAAAGCAAGCTTAGTGTCTTTGCTCTTCCAATGCGGCCAGAGACTGTGGTGGAGAAGCCTAGAGACAGAACGCGTGGATTTGAAAACGAAATAAGACTTTGGAGCGTTAGGAAAGGCTTAATTGGCTTCTTGAGTTGGGTCACAGTTTAATCCGAAGGGGCGGTGTGATTTGGAATTTTTCTTGTTTTCTTCCCGCCCCGTGTTCTCACGGTCTCTCTCTGAAGTTTATTCTTCGCCCGTTATTTAGTGTGAGGAGTGGGCAAGCATGCGTGGGAAGACTTAGGAATGGGTGTGTTCTCCTCACTAATAGAACGATAATGAGTGAAAAAGGTTGTGATTTGTCTTGTTTGTATTACTTTGTCAGAGACTGGATACTTATTTCCAGCATGAGGCTGATTTCAAGGAAAGAAGAAGAGAGATGTTACACAAACGATGGGTTGAGAATGTAGCAAAGCCTCTTCAACAGCGGGTTATAGAGAAAGTCATTTCATATAGAAGACCTGGGAAAAGTGAAGTGAAATTTGAATACTGTGCAAAGCACACAGATAAACCGGTACTGAGTTTGATCATTTCTTTTACTTAGCTCGGATGTCATTGTTTTCCTCCGGTTGTTTTCTTCTGCTGTCCTGATGTGTCCGGGTCATCCCATCATGCTCATGTCCGCCTGCTGCTGCTCACAGCTCCGGGTGTTGGGTGTGGTGTGCATTGAGGTAGAAGGAGGGAGGGGAGGTGCCGGGCACTCTTTGTACCCCCCACTTTGATCAGGAAGTGGAGTCGCCAGCATCCCCTAGGCGACCTTTCAGCTCTCTTTACCGGGACTGCCTCCAATTGCAAGTCCTAGTTCTGAGCAGGGCTGGGAAGGAGAATGTGAGACGTTCTGGTCTCTGCGGTAGGCGGTGGGCCCGGGAGAAGGGGACTGTTATGGCGGTGGAGCCTGGAGCCATTAAGTTTAGGGACAGACGGTTCTCTTTGTTGTGTCTTTACAAACAACATTTCAGTGTCTTATTTTGAGGATGTTTTTCACTTGGAGGTCAAGAGCCTCTTCGGGAATTTATGTCCTCATTATTTACAGCAGCACCAGATTTAAGCCTCCTGGAGTTACATTGCCCCTATGGGAACTTTGCTGTTTGGTTTGCTGGGTCTCTCCACCCCAAGTACTTACTAGAGATACAGAAGAGTTTAGGTAGAACATTAGAAACACTGGGTACTTGCCGGGCGGTGGTGGCGCACGCCTTTAATCCCAGCACTTGGGAGACAGGGCCAGGCGGATCTCTGTGAGTTCGAGGCCAGCCTGGGCTACCAAGTGAGTCCCAGGAAAGGTGCAAAGCTACACAGAGAAACCCTGTCTCGAAAAACCAAAAAAAAAAAAAAAAAAGAAACACTGGGTACCATCAAGTGTATTTATGAAGAGAATTTCAGAAAGTGTGCATTAAATATGAAATCCTAAATGTCTCAAGAGCAGGAACTTAAGAAGATGTAATCAAAATGTGTTGAAATCCAAGAGTGTGATCTTACAGGATTGTAGAGGTAGAGAACAGCCAAAGAGGCCCTCTTCCTAAGGCTTCTGGTTAGAGAGGAATTTCCTCTTTAATGGCCTCAGTCCCTCCCACACCCCGACACAGGCTTATGATCCTTACTTAACCCGATCCTCTCACCATTTTAAGAGCAGCAGGAGTGTCCCAAGGGGGGACTTTTCCTCCCAGGACTGGTTAGGAATAGTGTCTGTGCTCTTCCAGGCATGAGCTGGTGTCTGTCATAACCACGTTGTCACTTGGGTGGTTTGTCCGTTCTAGACTCAGAAACCCATGAGGACGGACGTGGCCTTGGTGTAGCACGGAATGGCTGAGTAAATATGACTGACTGAGGGAATGGATGGTTTAATGAAGCTTCAAGCAGAAGCTGTCCTTTCCATGTGGCCAAGCTTCCCTCCTTCCCGCCATCAGCATTTACAGTCAGTGAAACATCCCCGTGGGAGGCAGGCTCTCCCTTGGCACGTGGGCTGACCGTACTCGTAGGTCTTGATCTTGGCTTTGGTGGAGTAAGGCCTCACTGCGGTATTTAGGGCCAGATTTGAACAGCTCACTGTAATCTGCAGTGGGGGCCTCAAAGACTCGTTTTCTCCTGCAGACCAAAGCCTCTCCGCCGTGTGAGTGTCTGTTTCGAAGACAGCAAGAGCTCCGAGAAATGAAGGGAACCAGCTACCAACAGAGCACAGGTGCCTGGTGCCCAGAGGCTGTGGGGTAGACACAGCCCAGTGTCCCCTCTCCCGACCCCCAGGAGCGCAGGAGTTGTTCTTAAAGAGCTGGGTTTTGCTCTCCTGTCTTCCTGTAGGGAAACAGAATGACGCACAGAAAGAACACACTAAAGAAACCAGGAAGGCCCCCCACTTCGGCAGATCACCCCAGTTCATGCACGCTTCCCATGGCATCGTTCCCAAAGAGAAGCCGAGAGCCCCTCCCCGGTCTGCTTGGAACAAGCCCAGCACACACAGGTACAGAATGACCAGATTAAGTCAGCTAGCATGAGCTCTAGGGAATCTTCCAGAAAAGAGAAAAAAAAAAAAAAAAGGAGCAAATAGGAGGGAAGGGTGTGGTCATGGTGTGGTTATTGAACTTGGGTGATATATATATATATATGCATTTTTTTGAGACAGTGTTTCTCTGTGTAACAGTCCTAGCTGTCCTGGATCTCACTCTGTAGACCAGGCTGGCCTCAAACTCACAGAAATCCGCCTGCCTCTGCCTCCCAAGAGTCAGTATATTTTTAAGTGTTTATACCAAAGAAGTTTTTGAAAGCTAGTGTGACCTTTCATGTTAACAGAACAAAGTAGGAACAAAGTCATAATCATTTCAATAAATGTAGTATTAAAATGAAAGATCTAGTCACACTCCCCCAAATTAGCTCATAGTATAGAGAGCTAGAAATTAGCTTACTTAATTTGCAGTAGAGTTCTAGAAAACACTAGAAGCTTTTCCTTTGAGTTTATGAATCAGACAAAGAAACTCACTTCAGATTTGTGCCAAAGACCTCAATTAATGAGAAGGGAGAGAAATAAAAGGTAAAAGAAATGGAAAACAAGAAATAAGCCCTTTATTTTTAACAGATAATATGATGCTCTACATAGAAAAACTCAAAGGCTATAAATGATTTTTGTTTTGTTTTGTTTTTTTGAGACAGGGTTTCTCTGTGCAGCCCTGACTACCCTGAAATATAAATAAATATTAAAAATTAAAAACTGTAGTGAGAGGCTCAGGAGCCCCCACCCCTAGCTAAGAGGATATTGACTGTTGATAGCTTTTAGGAGAAGGGGAATACTTTTTTCTTGACATCGTGACCCCGGGGTAGGTTGACCTTTCTTCAGTAGATGGCCCCACCCTCATGAGTATATGGACAGCACACATTAGACTTGGTTATTTAGAAACAAAGAGAACAGCTGGGCGGCGGCGGCGCACGCCTTTAATCCCAGCACTCGGGAGGCAGAGGCAGGCGGATCTCTGTGAGTTCGAGGACAGCCTGGTCTACAGAGCAAGTTCCAGGACAGGCTCCAAAGCTATACAGAGAAACCCTGTCTCAAAACAAAACAAAACAAAACAAAAACAAAAACAAAAACAAAAACAAAAAAAAGAGGACATGAAGTTGGGAGGGGATGAGGGATGAGAGATGGGGAATGAGTTTGGGAGGAGTTAGGGGAGGAATGAGGGATGACTGTGATGGAAGTATACTGTATACATGTATGAAGTTCTCAAAGAATTAATTAAAATATTGAAAAGTAATAAAATTTAGAAAGATTATCAAATTCAAAGTCAATACACAAATCATTTGTATTTGTCTATATCTAGCCAGAAAATGAAATTATGTGTAATAGTAACAAAATAAGAATACCTCTAGCCATCCACAGGACCACAGGACCTTCCTTATACATGATTTCTCATACATGCTACTTATTGGTATTTGGGACCAGAAAATTCTTTGTATTGAGGAACTTTGTTATAGGTTTTTTTCAGCAATATCCCTGCCCTCTATCCATATGGCCTCACTTCCCTGTTGATGAGAATTATTTCCAAATACTACTCTGAGGGCAAAAAGAGTCCTAACTGAGAACTATTTTAAGAGGAATAAAATAACCAAATTAGCCGGGTGGTGGTGGCACATGCCTTTAATCCCAGCACTCGGGAGGTGGAGACAGGTGAATCTTTGTGAGTTGGAGGCCAGCCTGGGCTATGGAGTGAGTTCGGGACAGTCAGGACTTCACAGAGAAACAAACAAGTACCAGATTAGTGGGAAGGTATACCATGTTCATGGATCAGAACACTCAAAACTGTAAACATGAAAAGTTCTCAAACATATTCAGTTCAATCTGAATAAAATTACAGTTATTTGTTTGAAGTGTGTGTGTGTGTGTGTGTGTGTGTGTGTGTTCATGTCTATATAGAAATTGAGCTAATTCTAAATTTTATAGGAAAACTACTCTATTAGGTATCAAATTGATTTAAAAATTGTACCAAATCAATAGATCAAAATAGAGACTCAAGAAATTAAATACATATGGATATTTCATTTGTACCAAAATAAGGCTATAGCGCAGAACACGGGGTATAGTACAGCATTTTCAATAAATGGTACTGGAAAATGAGTTTCATTATGGGGGCATTAAATTGGACTCCATGATCTATACAAAAAGTAGTTCCAGTTAGATTCTAACTTAAATTTGAGAAACAAAACCTTAAAGCCCTATGTATCTCAGGATATCAATCAAGTCCCCAAGTGATGGGAGTCCAGAGGATCAGCCTCTACCCTGATAATGGTCCTTGGCACTTAAAATGTTTACAGAGTTTGAAGATTAAGAACTCTATCCTGGGGGCTGGAGAGATGGCTCAGTGGTTTTAAGATCATTGGCTGCTCTTCCAAAAGACCCGAGTTCAAATCCCAGCACATACATGTGAGCAAAACACCCACACACATAAAAATGAAGAAATCACCAAAATGAGAGAGAGAGAGAGAGAGAGAGAGAGAGAACTATTTCTGTAGCTCTCCCATGACTTTTCAGTCATGAATGTTCCAGGCAGGTTTCCTGGTTCTTTCCTTCCTGGTTGTTATAATAGACGAACTCTGCAAATCTTTTTTTTTTTTGGGGGGGGGTGTTTCGAGACAGGGTTTCTCTGTGTAGCTTTGCGCCTTTCCTGGAACTCACTTTGTAGCCCAGGCTGGCCTCGAACTCACAGAGATCCGCCTGCCTCTGCCTCCCGAGTGTTGGCATTAAAGGCGTGCGGCATTGCTGCCCGGGGGAGTTTCTTTCACTTTTAAGACCTTTTTATTTAAACACTAACAATTACACAACTTCCCAGTAAGAGGCCTTGCCTTGCTTGGCCCTCTTCACCCTCCCTTCCGGCTCCTCAGCCTGTGCTGCCACAGCCCCCCCCTCAGCCTCCCCTTAGTCTGCCACAGCCCCCCCCCAGCCTCCCCTTAGTCTGCCACAGCCCCCCCCCCCAACCTCCCCTTAGTCTGCCACAGCTCCCCAGCCTCCCTTTAGTCTGCCACAGCCTCCAGCCTCCCCTTAGTCTGCCCCGGCCTCCCTTTAGTCTGGTCTTTCCCAGCCTTTTCCTGACACCTTGAGTGATCTCTTCCCAGTGGAAAGCTCTCCAGTGATTTCCCATAACCCTCTCGGTGGAGTCTGGTTCCTTACAGCCTGGGAGACGCGGCCTGGGCCCTGCCACCAGCCTGGCTAGAAGGCTAGAAAAATCCCCGTTCCTTCAGCAGAGAAATACCGCACTAGCCACAAAAATGTCTGGGTTAACCCGACTGCTTACAACTCCCCGATCTGTAAGCTGTGGTTTTGCTCCCCTGTTGCCTGGTATCCTAACCAGTAGGACACCCCAAAAAGCCGGCCTCCAGTGCTGGGCTAGATGATGAGTCAGCAGCTGAATCCGGGATGAAGGGAGAGAAGGCCTGTTTGCTGTGTACGAATAGGCAGCCATAGTGGCAGCTGTCTGTGGGGACATACATGTCCAGAGGGGGGCCCCCGTCTAATGAAGGGAGGAACTGAAGAGCAATGTGCTAGATTAGCCAGGGGCAGTGGATTGCAAAGAGCAAAATCCTTCTCAAGTGAGGAAGGGGAGAAGTCTGGAGACATTGCCAGCTCCCCTTATATCACGTCATCAGCGGGAAAGCCAGGCTGCTTGAGGGACCCCGACGCCGGTCCTCTCCCCCGAGACTTCGTGCTTCTCCTTGAGGAGAGACGTCTCTGCTCCTGGAGAGGCTGCCTCATGTCTGCCCTTCTCTGCTGTGTGCGTCTCCCTGGCTCCCTGGCCTCCTGGTCCTCCTGTTCCAGTCCCAGGTTGGAGGATTGAGAGACCGCCTGTCTCAGTCACAGCTGCAGGAAGGTCCCGGGACTCACCCGATAGCTGTGGTAGCCCGCTTCCCCGGAGGCACTGGGCTTAGGAGAGGTTTGTTTAGCTCCTGGTTTTGCGGGATGAAGTTTGCTATCAAGTAGTAGCCTCGGGTGCTTTGGGCCTCTGAGAGGGGAGCGATACTACATGGCAGGAGTTAGGACTGCTCAGGAAGCAGGGAGAGACCAGGGTCCCAGAGTCCCCTTCACCTCCAGACCTCTACCTTCACCCTTGAAAGGTCCATGGCACTCCCCAAAACCACCACCCTTGGGGCCCAAAGCCTTCCCGTGTGGACCTTTAGGGGACGTCATCCCAACCCGAGCAGATGGACAGGCACCAGTGATGTCCGGCCAGGCCTTTCTCTTCACGAAATGAATATCGGGTTCATTCAATGACTTTTGAATGGTAGAATTGTTTGTGCTGAGTTGAGATTCCCCCCCCCCACCCCGCGCCCCTCTTTTCTTCTCAGTTTTGAAAAGCCTGTCTGTAAATCAAAGTCATATCTGCCTCAGGAAGAGACCCCCGACCTAAGCCAGCTTGCCTTTGAAAGGCAGTTCCGTTCCTCTAAGCTCAGGCCGGAGAACAAAGAGATTGAGAAGTGTCTGGTAAGCTGCGGTCTGGGGGTGGGGCTGGGTGGATACCCACGGCACCGCACAGCCAGCCCCGGTGCCTGGCAGAGCCCTTCCCCGCAGCAGGGAGATGGTTGGGGGTCCGGTGCTCAGTTCCTGATGGGCGCTGAGCAGAGAAGGGACTCGGAGACACAGTGTCTGTGGGTCCCTGAATACAAGTGCAGACCTGTCTTTACAAGGTGAGGGCCCAGAAGACTGGCCAGAGCCGGTTCACCACCAACTTCGCGCCCCGCCCCCCTTTCCTGAGCCTTCCACCATCTGACATTTTCTACCATTTCCTAGTCACTGAAACCAGATCAAACATGCTGTTCTTTGGTGGGGCACACTTGCAATCCCAGCACTTGGGAGGTGAGGTGGGAGGGTAGAAAATTCTAGGCCAGGGAGGGGCTGGAGAGATGGATCAGCTGTTAGGAGCACTGGCTGCACTTCCCGGGGACCCAGGTTCAATTCCCAGCACCCACACAGGGACTAACAACCTTCCAGTTCCAGGGGATCCGATGCCCTCTTCCGGCCTCCGTGGGTACTGCATGTGTGTGGCGCACAGGCATACATGCAGGCAAAACACTTTTAAACATTAAAAAGAATTTGAGGCCAGCCTGGCCACACAGAAAGACCCTGTCTCAAAATACTACCACCCTCAGCAACAACAACAAAAAATGTTCTTAATTTAGTTACAATAGGAAATTTAAAAATGAAATATAAGAAAAAGAGACGGCAGACACAGTGAGCTTTTACATATTTTAAAGGGAATTCTCCCAGCACAGAATTTTGCATACAGGGCGAAGAATTGCAGGGCTCCTGACCCCTTTGTCCCCTCCCCATTTGAGGCTTAGTCACAGAGCTCAGAGCCCCCCGGGACTGTGGCACATAGCACGTGGGCGCTCCCTTACCTCCACCGAGAGGGTCTCTCCCAAGGGGTCTCTCCAGCTTGAAAACTCAGAAGTTGTTGTATTAACTGTCTTCATTCCTGAGAATTTCACACACGTATACAGTGAAACATCGTATCTACCTCGTTTCTCCCAACTTCCCCCAAACGACTCTCAACACAGCCCCTTCCCAAATTCATGTCCTGTCGGCAAGGTCCCCTCTTCCTCCTCCTTCTGGATAACCCACTAAGTACAATTAGTGCTGCCCACGTGCGGACGGTTGGGAACCTCCCACTGGTGACACATTAAATGGAGAAAAAGAGCCTCCCTCAGCACTTCTAAACTGCCAATAGCTCCTCGGTGGGTCTGGGGACCCTCCCCTCCCCATCTATGCCAGAATTCTGGCTGGATTGACTAAGTACCACAGCTGCTGTGAGCTCATGAGGGCATCAGCCGTGCCAAGTTCACAGCACTCCCCCCGTTATCAGTCAGACACACAGACACAGACACACAGACACAGACACACAGACACAGACACACAGACACAGACACACAGACACACACACACACAGACACACACACAGACACACAGACACACACACACAGACACAGACACAGACACACAGACACACACAGACACACAGACACACACACACAGACACACACACACAGACA